ATCGTTGGTGTCCTTCAGTAAGTGTACGAGTATTTTAGGTTTTGACTGTTTGCTTGATTTGTTAGGATTTACTATCGACCACATTGGAAAAAGTGCTCACATGAGTACGCAGTTGAAAAAAGTTAATCCTTGTTGTCATGAAAACGTAGGTAAAATTACACACTTTTGCTATTTCCATTATTTACGTAAAAAAAATATTGCATTATTGTCCTGTAAAGAGTAGAAAAATATTTTTTATAAACACAATCACATTATGAGTTCCTTTGCCAATTTGTCATTTCTACTTCCTTTCAAAAGGAGTTTTCTTTGGGAAACTGACAGAAAGTTTTATTAAGTGGAGATATGTGTGGTTGACTCGGTAATTTTATGCCATTGGCAACCGAGCAGATATATCTCAGGCCACACGTGCAAACATTTCCAACATATGAAATAATGTAATCTGATCGCATGTCCGATTCATATGTGAACTTGAGGAATATTGTATGTCTTTCAGAGCGGATATCGTACGTGGCATATTGGCATATTTTTCAAAAGTCATTATAAATTCGAGCATTAACAAAAGTTTTCATTTCATTCACTTTTAATTTTATATTTCCAAGTAAACTTTTTTTTGTGGTTATTTGATATTTTTTAGTTGATAAGAATGTTTTTTATGCAATTTTATTTTTCATTTCATTCCTGCTAGTCATTAAATTTGATTGATAGAAGTTTTATGTCATTAGGATATGTTTTTCTTTAAATCATAGCAACTTTAAACTCATAGCAACTTAAACTCAAAAAGGATATTTGACCACATTTAAAAAATATATAAGAAAATATTTGTATGGAAGCTTTGTTAGAGTATTTACACGACATATGAAATAAAATTATAGCAACTTATATATGTTTTTGGTCCCTTCATTTCTGTATTAAATATAGAAAACCATTCCTGGTTGTATACATTATTATTTAATGTATACGCATATATGTGAATAACAAACTTTATGGAAAACCAGTTGAAATGTATAAATAATTCCATTCATATTACGAAAATGAAATTGAAGGAAAAATCATTGGTTCAAGACAATAGTGATAACACACTTGCATTATATAAGTTTAATAAGCAGTTTAAATTAAAATAATTAACAATAAACACCAATTATGAATTTGTTATAAGAATTATTATGCAAACTAATTGAGAATTACAAACCAGTCGAATTGTGATAACTTAAAGTACACTCTTATAATTTCTAATTCTATGGATTGTAATTCTTATTCAATTCGCTATGTAATTCCCATAGAAGTTTAAGCGTTAAACATATATATCGACAATTTTAATGCAAGGTTTTTAAGTAAATGTGGTATTAATACTAAGATGTTATATCTGGGGATATCATATTTATACAATAAATATTTTGCTTTATAACTTAATTTTCATGGACTGAAGATGAAATGGTGTGATATTAATACTATTTATTATGAGACCTATATATCAAAGCTATGCGGTTTTCTAAAATAATGATGGGGAAACTGGAAAATCATTGAACTATTTATAACAAGTTGTTTATCATACTTAATAATGATATAAAAGGATAATTTTAATAATATTAAAATTTTTATTGAAATATGTATATATAAAAAGTAAAAAATTGTTACAAAAATATTTTTAAAAGAATTTGTGAGAGCGCATGATATCAAGAATTACTAAAGCAAGAAATTCATATACTAATGATATAAACCAATAATATTAGTCAAGTCTTGTCATTAAATAGCCATCAAATCCATCAAAAAATAATGAGTTAGGGAGTTAATGGCATCTGAAATCACTATTTTCTTGTCTCTTACATACAATGTTATTGTTATAATTTAATTATAAATAAATAAAACTAATTTAGAAACTTTGTACTTAAGTCAAATTTTACAGAATTTCCATAGAATTGGATTCGATAGAAAAGCATTGAAATGAAATCAATTAAACAGCCAAAGTTGGATTAAACATTTACTGAGTTTCAATAAATAGACTGGAAATACGAAAGATTGAGTATGATATATATGACAACATAGAGAACACTCGACAAGTATAGTTGAAGAACTCTGCAGACTTTTGGCTAGTGATGCTCTTACTATAGTGATGGGAGCTGCAACCCAAAAGCGCAAGTTTAGAGACTCAAAATATTGCAAAGATTTAAAGTTTTCCATTTACTTAATGTTATTAGATTTTAAATAACTATTTGCTCCACATAGAAGATTAAATTGTAAACCATTTTTTTTTTGTTTTTTTAATTATGATATTTTTTTATTGAAACTCTTTTAAGAAGATAGTAGTTCAGCAAGAATTAATCCTTAATGACGCCTATTAATAGTGTCACATTATCAGTATCACATTGTGATAAGTAATAATTCTAATAATGCTTATTCGTAAAAATATTATGATAATATTATTAGTATACTTAGCAAATTTTCTCTCTCTCTCTCCCTCTCTCTCTCTATCTCTCTCTCCCTCTCTCTCTCTATCTCTCTCTCACTCCCTCTCTCTCTCTATCTGTGTCTCCCTCTCTCTCTCTATCTCTCTCTCACTATCTCTCTCTCTCTCTCTTCTCTTTCTCTAGTCTTCATTGACTTTCTCGTTTCTTATATACTATAGAGACCAACAGTTCTTGATGAATGCTTTTTAATTGCGTGCGTTAAATAGCTTCGATCCGCATTGGGGCAACATGAGTTCAAATAAGTTTGACTAAGACATTGTATCCACGGTTGCCACTTGAAAATTTTTTTCTGTACCAAAATTGGTTTAAAAAGGTACCATTTCTGTAAAAAAAGGTCCAAAATTTTTCTATTGTCTTTTTATAAGAAAATACAAATTATATAAAATGTACAAAAAGTATAAAACAATACAAGTTACATTTATAAAAAAAATTAATTGAAAATATCCACAATAAAGTTGGGTCGCCGAAAATGTACCATTTTTTGAACATGAGTACCAGAGTACCAAACGGAAAAAAAAG